TTAAATAGTATCGCCGCTCGGCTATACTATTTACTCCCAAAAAAATTTAAATCAGCGTATAGCCGTACGGCTATATGATTAATTTTAAAAACAATTTCAAAACACCTAGTATAGCCGCGCGGCGATACTATTAATTTTATAAAAAAATAAAGAAAACCAATAGCGGCGCGGCCTATTCATTGGAATAAAGAAAAATAGTATAGCCGTTCGGCTATACTATTAATTTCAGGAAAAAAATTAAACAACAAGGTATAGCCGCACGGCTATAATCTTGAAATATATTTTATTTAAAGAGTACAGCCGCCCCGCTATACGCTGTGTCTTTTTTTAAACTTTTAGTCCAATTAATAGTACAGCAAAAATGAAGAAAACGATTCATTCAGCAAGTATAGTCTCAAAAACATCTTGGAGTCACACAAGCTCAAAAGTTCTAGCAAGTCAGTTCAGCTACCTTAACAGAAGAAACTATCCTCTGAAAAGGAGCATGGTGAAGTCGATTTCATCAATTTACAACTGACTGATTACCACAAAAAACCTCCAAAATAACAGTGTAAGACACTCTTTATGAATCCCTAGTCCGAAGTCAGACACACAACAGTCAAACTAGCTCCAAAATTCCATTTCCAGAATTGATCAGGCTTAAAGTTGACATGTTTACTCCTCTTTCTTCCCAAGGAAGACATTGGTGAGAACTGCGTTAGACTCGAATGATGCCTTGAGCAATTTCAGACCCTAAAAAATTAATGAAAAGAAAATGATCATTTTGAACAAAATAACAATTCCTCCAACCAAAACAAAAAAACAAAAGAATATAATAGCAGATGAACTGTGGCAAATTAGCTATGATTAAAAGCCTACATGATAATGTATGATGGTTGTATCGTCTATTGATCGAGTGTGTAGAGTAGAAATCAAAGCATAAAAAGTGTATCTATCCTATCCTTCCCAACTTGAATCAATTAAGAAAAGAATAAAAAGTGGGGTTTGTAATTGATGTGCGTATATATTTTGCACATTCAAGATCCACATATATTCACAGTGAAAAATGTTGAGAGAAGTTTAGGAATGCACACCTCATCCATGCCTAGAAGAACCATCCTCTCTTCAAGGGTACCAACCTCCTTAACATTGAACCTGTTCAACATAGCTATACACGATATGGTAGACATAGGCTTCACTTCCAAATTATCCATTATCATGTATGTAACAACATCTTTCACATACCCTTCCTCCACCACCAGACGATCCTTCCATGATAGCCTGTGCTGCAACATAAGGCACCTCGGTAGAGAGAGTATATTTGCACTCTGGGCAAATGGCTCTAGGATCGTCAGCTATAAAGCGGTGGTAGCTCCCACACATGTACACCTTTTTAGCCAAAGATTCATCATTGGTCAACAGATGAGGAACATTAGCTCCACCAATTGGTGCCTTGGGTTTCAGCAATGTGTCCTTGTTGAGATTGGGTAACATATATGTGTCATTAAGAATTTCAAGACTATCATAAAGCTTGCCTAAGCTGCCCACCATGTTATCCTTAGAGAGGAGCCTAATCACAGTTCCAACAGGCAAAGCCAGCAGCGTGAAAAGGAAATCCACAAAGTCCTTGCCTGCTTCAGCAAACAGAACCTTGTGGCCCTTTGTGTCAATCAAGAGCTTCAAGCTTACAGTGTTGGTTGCCATTGATGCAGTTACAAGGGGAATTGGGACCAACAGGCCTTATAGAGAAATTAGGGAACTGTAATAAAATAAGTGAGTAAATAAGCAGAGCCATTGCTATAAGTAGATTAAAGGAGGCACCTTTAAGGCTTTAGCAGGGAAAACAGCAATCATATTATTTTTATATATAATAAAACTAAAGAAAAAAGTATCAAAAACGAATAATCATAAATATATATTCCCACTTTTTCTATTTAGAAACTGGAAAATTTAACTCAAAATATAATCTTCCGAATACTTTGCATGGACCTTCAACACAAAAATAAATAAAAAATAAGAAGAAAACAAAACCTCATTTCAGAGCCTGCCTACATATACAAATTCAGTTGAAGAAATCAGTGTAATATATATTTTTTCACTACAGAGCCTAATTTCAAAAAAAAAGTTTGGTCCACACATTACATATTTTTTCCAAACAAACAAAAACATGAGAAAATTCAGAGATGGAGAGAGAGTTTTCTAAGAGTTACCAAGAGGAGACCCAAGTGCAGCTTTTTAGGCGTAGACGGTAGACGTAGAGTAGGGTTCTCTGGAGTGGAGAAGATGAAAATATATGTGCTCTGTAAGTCGGTGCTCTGTTTTTATTTACTGCCCTTGCGTCCTTTTCTGGACCTCAATGTTGGGCTTGAGCTTGACTGAAAAAGCAAAATAACGGATTCAATGGGCCCAACTCGGGGCCCACTTGATATGTTTTTCTCGGTAAGACAATTCAAAAGAAAGAACCTAAGTTGCCCGATTATATGGTAGAGTAAAATTGACAAGACAAAATTATGTATAATGTACATAGAAAAATGGGAAATGTAGAAGGAATATTTCAGACCTCATCCATGCCAAGATCAACCACCTTCTCCTCAAGAGCACCAACCTCCTTCACATTGAACTGGTTCAGCATGACAATACTTTAAATGGCGGACATTGGCTTCACCTCCAAGGTATCCATGATCATGTATGTCACTACGCCCTTGACATACCCTCCCTCGCCGGATGTTGCCGCCACAGTAGAAGAAGCTTGTGGGCAAACATAAATCACCTGAGTGGACATGGCATACCTGCAACTTGGGCAAACGGTTCCAGACACATCGGAAATACAGCGAACGCAGTTTGTACAAATGTAGAACTGTTTTGCATTCGAGTCAACGTCGTTGGTCAGCAAAAGAAGGATATTGGAACCAGCAACTGCTGCCTTTGGTTTCGCATACCCTCCCTTGCTGGACGTTTCAACGGTGCTACAAGGTGCTTGCGTCAGAGAAACATAAATTTACTGAAGTGGAGATAGAATAATAACGTGTGCATTGTGAACAAGCAGTTCTTGGAGAGGAGCCTAACCACGGTGCCGACAGGCAAAGACAGAAGGTTGAAAAGAAAATCCACAACCTCCTTGGTCGCTTTAGCAAACAGAACCTTGCGACCCTTTGTGCGGACAAGAAGCTTCAGTGTCATGCTAGTGCTCTTGGAGTGTGCCATTGATGCAAATATTGAAGACAAATAGGCATATGCATATTTCTAAGCCTTAGAAAGACCTAACAATTTATAGCTTTTCAAATTCATTCATATCGAAGCTGAAGAATCACATGATCAATGGAGATTAAACCCGCATTGATCGGAACTGAAGGATGATCATGATTCACATTGACCAAGAAGGCGGAGGGTTAGCAAATTAAACTACAACTGGTATTTATTTTTTCAAATTAATGGTTGACGTTGATGATGAAAACCATGGAAAAACGATTAATATTTGTCATTCATTTCTTTGAAACTAGGCTTTGCCTTTTCGAACTCCTTGTGTTGGTTTAAGATTTTTTCTGCAACACTCTTTTTTTTTTTTTTTTGTTGTGAGCTTCCATTTTGGGCTTCTTCCATAGTTTATTTTGACCATCAAACAAAAAACCATCGAGCTTCACTGGACTATTGTCAAATAAAAAGGTACAATAGAAGAAGACAGAAGAAAAACCTTCAACATGTAGATATGAAGTCATTAAATTCATTATGCATATACGCACCAAATAAACTCCAAAATAATAATTATTGCATAACAAAACACATCTCGCTTCAGAATAACAAAAAGTTCAGAGTGGCTCCAAAATGTTCATGCCGCCAACTTCATCCCAAGGAACACATCAGTTTGAGGACTGTTTTTGACTCTAAAGATGCCATGAGCAATGTCAAACCCTAATGAAGAAACACAAAAAAAAGTTAGAAGCATTTTAGCATTGGTGCTTTCTTTGAGCAATTATAAGATGAAATGAGAGAAGCATATTCAAATGATCAAACCTCTTGCAAGCCAAGCTGAACCACCCTCTCTTCAAGGACTCCAACATCCTTCACATTGAACTTGTTAAGCATGGCAATGCTTGAAATGGTAGACATAGGCTGCACTTCCAAATCATCCATAATCACATATATATATATAAGTGTGTGTGTGTGTGTGTGTAACAACACCTTTCACATACCCTCCCTCTCGCTGGACAAAATTGTATCTCCTGCAGACGTTTCTGCTGGTGGACCAACATAAGTCATCTGCTTGGACATTCTGTTCCCGCACTTTGGACAAAAGGCTCTTGGGTCATCTGACACATAACGTGTGTTGCACTCTTCGCCCTCATCATATGAGTAATAACGCCTGCCATTGCAACCGCAGTAGTAAAAGTTCTTAGCTTCTGATTTATTGTTGGTCAACAAATGGAAAATGTTAGCTCCAGCAACAGCTGACTTGGGTCTGAGCAGGGTGTTCTTTTTGAGATTAGGTTGCAAGTATGTGTAGTTAAGATTTTCAAGTCTCTCGTAGAGCTTGCCTAAGCAACCAACCATGCCATGCTTAGAGAGGAGCCTAATGACGGTGCCAACATGCAACGACAGCAAGCAAAGAGAAGAAAAAATCAGCAACTTCTTTGCTCACTTCAGCAAACAAAATTTTGTGGCTCTTTGTGTCTATTAGGAGCTCCAAGCTCACACAAACGTCGGAGGTTGCTGCCATATTGAACTAGTGATGAGGACGACAAAGGAACTATACGGCTATATATTCCTTATATAATAATTGTATGCCAATATTATTTTTGTATTGCCTAATTATAGATTCATAATTGAAGCACTCAAACTTTGCCTTTATTGCAGTGAAACTCAACATTGTGCATCATAGTACAGGGCATTGTGCCAATGACACTCAACATTGGAACTTGGTCTTCATCAACATGCATCTAGAGCTTGATCTCTATTTTCTTCTCTCACACTTTGAGGAATTTAGGGAAGCACTTAGCAGACTCTCCGGGAATGCGCATGAGTTTGTTTTTGTAATCGATGTAGTAAAGCCTGAATCTTAAGGTATAGCCATCACCCCATTCATAGTCATCAAACAGAGCCCAGTGGAAATATCCTGTCAAGTTCACTCCATTCTTCATTGCCCTGTTCATCCAGTACAAATGCCTCAGATTATTTTCAATTCTATGTTGGAGTTAGGCGGAGCATGGGCGCCCGCCTAGGCGGCTTTAGGCGGCCCTAGGTGCCTTTAGGAGGCCCTAGGCATCTCTAGGCGGGTCTGGGATGTTTTGGGTTTGAGCAGGGTGTCCTTAAGATTGAGTGGCAAGTATGAGTCGACACTAAGAGTTTCGGCACTTTCGTAAAGGTTGCCTAAGCAACCAACCATACCATCAGTTGAGAGGAGCCTAGTAACAGTTGCAACATGCAAAGACAGAAAACTGAAAAGGAAATCAACAACTTCCTTGCTTGCTTCAGCTTCAGCAAACAGAACTTTGTGGCTTTTTGTGTCAACCAGAAGCTTCAAACTCGTGCTAGCCCTGTTGGTGGTAGCCATTGAGGGGATATTAAGGACAGAAAAGAAGGAGCATGTGCTTAAGCATTCAAAGACCTATTTTATGCTTCACAAAAGAAGTTATCCCAAATTCAAAATTATTCAAAAAGGCAATGGTGAATGGATCAAGAAGGTGGAGGGTCACCTTGGACTCTGCATCATCAGTCGACCAGAAAACAACTCTACATATACAAATCTGTCATTACCTATACATAGGTGATATATTATACGGATGAGTGAATAAATATGTATTTATTTCCACTAGTTGGCATTCATTAACTAAACCAACAGCCAGATTTACAATTCGTTTTGTTTTGTATTTGCTTTTTCATAATAGCTGTATTGTATCTTCAGACTTCACTAGTTCAGAGCCAAAAGACAGTGAAAAAGCCAACTAACAGGTCTATGCTCCTTTCAGCAAACAGAATTTCGTGGCTTTTTTACATGGACTAGGAGTTTCACCTTAGTTTTGGTGAATTCTATTGATGACTTCAAGAAGACTGATCCATAATTACATGGATGAGTTTATTCTTTGGAATGGATGATGAACTTCATAGATCAAGTAAGAGGAGAGAAATTTGATAGGTAAAGAGAGAGAAGATAATAGATCACTAGAACATGTAATTTTGTCACACATACGCGTGAGTATGGATTAATCTGGTGTGAAAAGTAGGAGGAGCTGTAATGCAAGGCATCAAAAAGCTTTTATAACCTTGCAAACTGCCACTTTAGAAACAAAACTACATTTGATGTATTTAGAAATTGAAGTAAGAATTTGTGTGACATGACAAGGGTTTGAGTTGCAAGGTGTCCGTTTTAGTTAACCATAGGTTTCATGCAAATGTTAACCACCAACATGCAAAGACAGAAGAGTGAAAAGAAAATCAACAACTTATTTGCTTGCTTGTAACTCTTTGTGCAAAGAGGATAGAGAAGGACGGCAGGCGTATAATATGCCTGAAAAGCCTTAGAAAGACCTATTTATAAGCTTAGACAAGCCTTAGAAGCGAATGGTACTAAAGCATATGAACTCATAAACCTGCCCAAACGGATAAAAACAGAGAACTGTTATAAAAGTTGATCTCCTGCCAACTGGTTTGAGATTTGATCATGCCAAAAAGAAACTAAGAAATGGAGGCCCAAAACATAAAATCAACAGAAAAACCAAAAACAAAACAGTGCAAAAGCCTTAGAGAATCAGTGCTTCATAAAGTCCACGCTTATCCCTGCGGAGCAGTGTAGATGAGCAAGTTTACTTCAGCCGCACGATCGGTTCTCCTTGTTCATTTTTGTATCAACGACAGTGCAAAAGGATCATTGGGAAAGCAGATTGGTTTCCTTGGACTTGTTGGATCGTTTTTACCATATCTTGCGGTATAATATTTGTTACCAATAAGATCAGAGGGCCAAAGTTGAAATAATCCAATGTAAGCCAATACAGTCAATGTCAATATCCACAAACTAAAAGGAACCTCCAAAAGCTCAATTTTGTTGTCTTGGGTTTCAGCAGGGAGTCTTTGTTACCATCCAATCAAAATTCACTTTTAATTGGGGATTTTTAATATAAATGGAGACATTAATAGACTTTTCAAGGGGCACCTACTGCAGCTGGCCCCAAATAATAGCAAATAATGTCTGGTTCCATATAGGAAGTGACTCAGCAACTTCAAAGATAAAAAATGCATAAGCAAAAACATGTTTAAATGCAGGAGATGGAACAAAATCAAGTGAAATGACCTAAGGTTGCATGCACCCTATTAGTTAGTATTTCAGTACAAGATCATCAGACTAGGAAGGTTGATTCACTAGTGACCTGCCTCATGACTGTGAAAATAGTGTAATCTATTCCACGCCAACCGAAAGCTCATTATCTTTCAATTTCGAACCAACTTCAGTCAGTTCCGATACACCAAGAGGTACCCTTCCAGGATGTGGCATCCAGGGGTAGGCGCCAGGGAGCTAGGCGGCGTCTGGGCGCCCGCCTAGGCGGCTCTAGGCGACCCTAGGAGGGTCTAGGCTACTCTAGGAGGCTCTTGGAGGCTCTAGGCACTCAAAGAAGGTCTAGGCGGCTCTAGGCGGACCTAGGCGGCTCTAGGAGGGTCTGGGCTTCGCCGTTGAGGCGTGGACGAAGGGCCGTGGAGTAGGGCGGTAGAAGTGTGCAGGATCCGCTGCTTGTTAGGAAGAAAGACAGAGAGAGAGAGAGAGAGAGAGAGAGAGAGAGAGAGAATGATCGAGACAAAGAGAGGAAGGAGAAGGCGACGCGGGGAAGAAGATATCTGACCTAATTGATATGAAGACATTAAATGCATTGTTGCATAACAAAACACATCTCGCTTCAGAATAACAAAAAGTTCAGAGTGGCTCCAAAATGTTCATGCTGCCGACTTCATCCCAAGGAACACATCAGTGAGGACTGTTTTTGACTCTAAAGATGCCTTGAGCAATTTCAAACCCTAATGAAGAAAACACAAAAACAAGTTAGAATTATGCATTTTAGCATTGGTGCTTTCTCTGAGCAAATTATAAGATGAAATGAGAGAAGCATATTCAAATGATCAAACCTCTTGCAGGCCAAGCTGAACCACCCTCTCTTCAAGGGCTCCAACATCCTTCACATTGAACTTGTTAAGCATGGCAATGCTTGAAATGGTAGACATAGGCTGCACTTCCAAATCATCCATGATCATATATGTAACAACACCTTTCACATACCCTCCCTCGCTTGACAAAATTGTATCTCGTGTAGACGTTGCTGTTGGTGGAGCAACGTAAGTCATCTGCTTGGACATTGTTCTTCCGCATTTTGGACAAAGGGCTCCAACGTCATCCGACACATACCGCGTGCTGCTGTTTTCGGTCACATGGTACGAATGGGAAGAGGATGATGGGTGATTGCAATCACAGTAGTAAAATTTCTTAGCTTCTGAATCAGATTTATTGTTGGTCAACAAATGGAAGATATTAGCTCCAGCAACAGCTGACTTGGGCCTGAGCAGGGTGTTCTTGTTGAGATTAGGTTGCAAGTATGTGTAGCTAAGATTTTCAAGGCTTGCGTAGAGCTTGCCTAAGCAACCAACCATGCCATCCCCAGAGAGGAGCCTAATGACAGTTCCAACATGCAAAGACAGCAAAGAGAAGAAAAAATCAACAACTTCTTTGCTCACTTCAGCAAACAAAATTGTGTGGCTCTTAGTGTCTATTAGGAGCTTCAAGCTCACACAAACGTTGGAGGTTGCTGCCATATAGAACTAGTGATGAGGAAGACAGGGGAACTATGCGGCTATATATTCCTTATATAATAATTGTATGCCAATGTTATTTTTGTATTTCCTAATTATAGATGTTAATTGAAGCACTCAAACGTACGTTGCCTTTATTGCAATAAAACTCAATATGGTGTATCATAGTACAGGGCATTGTGCCAATGAAACTCAACATTGGAACTTGGTCTTCATCAACATGCATCTAGAACTTGATCTCTATTCTCTTCTCTCACCCTTTAAGGAATTTAGGGAGCCACTTAGCAGACTCTTTGGGAATGCGCGTGAGATTGTTTTTGTAATCGATGTAGTAAAGCCCGAATCTTAAGGTATAGCCATCACCCCATTCATAGTCATCAAACAGAGCCCAGTGGAAATATCCTTTCAAGTTCACTCCATTCTTCATTGCCCCGTTTATCCAGTACAAATGCCTCAGATTATTTTCAATTCTATGTGGATCCTTCAGTGCAGCATCAAGTCCAAGTTCATTATCCTTTGGCTCAGTAATTCCATTTTCAGTAATGTAGATTATCGGATTCCGATAATTTTTATTCATGAACTCCAACAGTTTCTTCACACCTTGTGGATAAATAATGTAGAGGATCGAGTTTCCTTCAGCCTAAGGACCAATAGGATCTCCGTTTTCGTTTTCGTTTTCGTTCAGTGTTGAAGCTAAAGGATCGTTGCGGTAGCAGAAGATCTGTCTTCTGCGGATTCTGAGTAAGGCTCAACATACCGTCCTACAAGACTAATTCCACTTTGTCCACCTTGTTTCTCTTGAAACTTCTCTCCGTAAAGCTCAACAACAGTGGCATGGGCTAGGAGAAGGTTATGGCTCACAATGTAAGGTTCAGTGGCTGAATTGCCGGCGCTATGCAAGGAAGCCCTGCTGAAATAGAACACCTTCCCGGCGCAGCAATTCCAAAGTCATATCCAAATTTGGCAATATTCAACTGCTCGTTGATTGTGATCCAATTTTTGACCCTATCTCCGAATGTTCTTAAACAGATTTCAGTGTAAGCCTTGAAATCATCCACAAAAGAACGGTTCAAAGGGCCAAAGTACTTGTCTTCCAAACCTTGTGGTAGGTCAAAGTGCAATAAGGTCACATAGGCTGTGATCCCGTTATCGATTAATTCATCAATAAGGCTGCAGCAGTGATCCATGAAACCAGTATAGCCGGTCGGCTATACTGTTTGAATATGATATATTTAAGACACATAGCCGCCCGGCTATACTATTAATTTAGGAAAAAAATTTAAAAAATGAAACACGGAGTATAGCCGAGGTTTAATATATTATATTTAAAAGGTATAGCCTGGCGGCTGTACTATTAATTGGAATAAAATTTTTAAAAAACAAACAGAGTATAGCCGGTCGGCTACACTATTAATTTAGGAAAAAATAAAAAAGGGAGTATAGGCGCGCGGCTATACTCATTTAATATAAATATACAAAACCAGGCCAAATTGTTTGAGTTCAATTCTAAAATATAAGCAGTAGCTGCATTTGATATGATGTGAAATTAAAGTTAAAATGCAATCGTAGAGAAACGGCTGCACTCAGATGGCCCTTTGTGTCAATCAGGAGGATAGGCTTTGACAATTCATCAGTTTCTTCAGATGTTTTGAATCAGTATATATTAATGAGCTTGATTTCTTCAACCTCCCTCAGTACAAAATTGGCCTCCTTATTTGTTCTGGATCAACGATAAAGTTGAATGATTGTTGCGATGGCGGATGAGTTTTCTTGAGATATAATGAATGAAACTAATAGAATCAATGGACTAAAGTTTACATGATCCAGGGTAATAGAATAGAAATCCCAATCCACAAACCAAAATGAAACCCCAAAAGCTCAAT